AGCCTGCCTAAGGTGGTATGGTCGGTCGGTCAGTGTTTGGGTCTGGGTCAGCTGGGAGGCTGTGCGAGGGTCTGGGGTCACAGACTGGGGCCGACACAGATAAGCCTCCTCCCTCTGCTCTGGAGGCCACGGGCCTGGGGGCTTGTCCCTGGGGAAAATCAACAGCAGTTGATAAAACCCAACTCCGACCGACCCGCAGCGACCTTACAGCAGTGGAGGAAGAGCAGAATTTCATCTGGCCTCTGTGGCCGGCAGAAAGGAGATAGGAGACACACACTCAGCCAGCGCGGCTGGGGCCCGCCAGGCCCACCAAGCCACCGTGCTTGTTTTTACACCGAGTTGGAGCTGGTTCGGCTCTGCAGTCCCCAAGCCAGAATTGGGGAAGACAACAGAGATGGCCCCTTCTATTTGCATATCTTGGTCTTGAGTGGGAAAATCCCTTAGTTTACCCGGATCCTGAGTCTGCCCCCCTTTATCCATCTATCCTGTGTCCCTGTTCCTGTCTACCCAATGTGACTGTCTCCCTTAATCTGTCCTTAGAGGAAGGACTGCTCCTTACTGCCCTCCTGGGTTACCAGGAGGTTGCTCAGGGGCTCGTGTCCTTTCCTGTCTCCATGGACTTCACCTTGGCAGCTGGGCGGTCAGAAGTGACCGTGGGGGCTCAGATGGCATGTGGATTCACTTTCAGGCTCTGTCAGGGTGGCCTTTGCTTTCAGGTGCTCACTCGGGCTCCATGGAGGTCCCTGCCCAGTCCCTGCAGCTCCCGGTGGCCACAGTGTTCCTTGGTGCATGGCCCCATCACTGCAGCCTTGGCCTCTGTCTCCACGGGGCCTTTGTCTAGATCCAGAGAGCACAACCCTAGACCCTCAACTACAGCATCTGCGAAGGCCTTGCATCCAAAGGAGGCCACGTTCGGAGGCTCAGAGTGGACGAGGATGTTGAGGGATGAGAGCCCAACGCCAAATCCCCCCACACTCACTGTCACCGAGCTGATGCCGAGTCATCTCCATCTGACAGGACAGGACAGAACTGCTGGGTTTCTGAGGCTGTCACTCTTTACGGGGTCGGAGAGCCTCCATGTTCACCCACAGGGCAGCTGGCGGGTGTGAACTGCTGACCTTCGGGTAGGCATAGTGCCCCAACATGTCACCCAAGGCCCTCAGAGCACACAGTGGACTTGAGCACAACTGGGAAACGTGTCCTTCTGTGTCTCTGGAGGCCGCCCGGAGCCAGAGCCCAGGCCTGGGCAGCTGCCCCTCCCCTGTCCCTGTCAGATAAAAGGCAGCGGCTGTCTCGGTGAGTCAGTCATCTGGGAACATCCGTCACTGGGCCCGTGTGCTCACAGTGTATTAATAACACATACAACGACGTGAATGAGGTCAGCAGGTAGGGCAACAAGAACCTCACGGAACAGCAGACCCAGACGTAATGCCGGAACTTTCCAGAACAGTCCGGCAGCGTTAGGGGTGCAAACACCCTGGGTGTGCTTCTGGGCACGTCTGCTACCCTGGGTGATGATGGCCAGTTCCCTGGTCCAGTTTCCGGGCTCCTGGGTGGGGCAGGGTGGGGGGTGGCGGGAGTCCTCAGTGCATTTCTGCCCTGCTGTGGGAATTGCGTCAGCGGCAGGCAGGCCAGGAACAGGAGGATGTGGTGAGCTGCACACCGGGGAGGGGGTTTCGGCTGCTGCTTCTGGGAAGTGTCTGCACCTGGCTTCCCCCAGGTGGCCTGCGGGCAGAGCCTGGGCAGATAGACCTTGAGGGCAAAAGCCTTCTAAAGAAGCCTCTCTGTTTCTGGATGGGGATGGCAGATGCAAGGTAAAGGAGCCAACCAATTGGTGGGGACCCTCCTTCAAAACAGAGCCTTTTTGCCCCCGCCCCCACCCCTGTACCCCACTCCACCAGTGGGGGGTGGGGTGAGTAAAAGGGAGAGGACGAGGACGTCACGGAGTTTATGTAGGAAAAAACTGTCTGGAAATGGATGGTGGTAGCAGTGTACAACTCCGCTCGATGTAACTGAACTGTGGATATGTATGAAATCCTAACTAATAAACCACAACAGAGCTGTTTTCTGGCTGAGTCCGAAGAGGACCTCCTCCCGCGGATGCTGGACCGCTACTGCGCATTAGGCGTGGCCGGCACCCCCCACCATTTGGTCCTGCAGTTACTGGTCGCTATTTGCCGCCTGGGAAGCTTGTCCTCCTAACGCAAGCCGAGTTTCCTCCAGCCCGGGCCTCTGGGGACCCGGAGCCCCGCGGCCTGCACCTTCCTGAGCGGCCTGGAGGAGGAGCTCGAGGCGCCCGCGTGGCCGCGCGCAGTTGGCATTTCCTGCTCCCCCCTCCCCCCTGTGGTCCATGCTCCCTGTCTCTGCATGCGGGGAGGGGGACCCCGCAGCAGCACCCCAGGGCTGTGGGACCACACCCACTGAGGCTCTCAAGAGAGTAAAACTCACCATATTGACTCTCCCAGGGATTATAAGGAACCCTGTTGGTGTAGTGGGTTACATGCTGGCTTACAACCAAAAGGGCAGTCCTTAGAATCTACCAGTCAGGCCTTGGGAGTAAAGTGAGGCTTTCTGCTCCTGTAAAGACTTTCCGCCTCAGGTACCCACAGGGCTGGTTCTGTTCTGTTGACAAGCACTGGATGAAGTGTGGACACCAAGGGTCATTCACACCAGGCCTTCCCAAAATGGGATGCTTCCTCCCGAAAACGGACTGAGGCAAGAAGGTTCACCCTCACCTCCTCCATTCAACATAGCACTGGGGGTTCTGACGAGGGAACTAGGCAAGGGAAGAACAGAAGGCGCGCAGGTTGAAAAGCACAAGGTGACTTGACTGTATTCATAAGCAGCATGGTCATCCACGTGTAAGCTCCATAGACTAGCCACTCTAACCAGGGAGCGGTTCGGTCGGGTAAGCAGGACAGCAGTGTTTCTCTAGGTGGGCAACACTGACCCCTGGTGGTGGCGCTGTGGATCGGCCCAGGGGCAGGCTGCAGAAGCAGATGCCCACACGGGCACCTGGATCAGTGGGGAGGACGGGTTTTTCTCCTGTCTGCAGTGACAGGCTGGGAAACTCCCAGGGGCACTTTGCCACGAGTTGGCATCAACTTGATGACAGTCAGTTTGGTTCTGGAGAGGCTCGTGTACAAATGATTCTCATTGCTAGGTGGACATGTTAGAATTTCCGCGCCCGCCCCCCCAGCTGAAATGGGGGCTGCAGGCTGTGGCAGTTATATAATCTCCCATCAACTTGAGTGGAGAGGTGGAGTCTAGCCTGTCAATCAGGTGATAGCCAATAATGCCTCTGTGTGGGCATGGCCTTCTCCTGAGGATTCTGGGAACCCCTGTCTTCATCCCTGGAGGCAGGATACACACTGTCACTGCCCCACCTTCCTGTGGACAAGCCAGGTGGAGCCACACTGATGGAGCCAGAGCCCTGGAGCTGGAGAAGCCACATGGCGACGCACACCAGCACTGAGATGCTTCCACAGACGTTCCACCGGCCTGTGATCTTCCTGCTTTCGGCATCCTTGCATGTGCTGCGTGAGTCTGCAGAAGAATGTATGGACTAGTATCGGATATGTGGGCTAATATCAGACTATGGACTTGTTCTGGACTGGACTGGGATGCTTTCTCAATACACAATTACTCTTGGATCTAAAACTCTCTTACGTGCATGGAGTATCTCTGGACTTGTTTCTCTAGTCAGCCCAGACTAACACATAGGCCAAATATGTTTGGGAATCTATGGTATAAAGCAATCCATTCCACTTCTACACACCAGCAGCATGCGATCAGAAATGGAAGGCACGGATGACGCTGAGCAGCATGGTGTGCCAGCGGTAACCTGACGAGGGATGCCCAGCCTGTGCAGACGGACAGCCGCTAACCTGGCACAGAGGCACCCGAGAGCAGTGCTTCTCCACCTGGAGGTCCAACGACCCTGTCCCAGGGTCACCCGATTCACAACAGTAGCAAAATGACAGTGATGAAGTAGCAACTAAAGTCATGTTATGGTTGGGGGGGTCACTGCAACATGAGGAGCTACATGAAAGGGCCACAGCACTAGGCAGGGTGAGAACCCCTGCCCCAGAAAGAGCCAAGTGATTGAGAGCTCTATTGTGTTTTCAGGTTGAAAGATCCACATGTTAGGATATCAATTTTTCCCAAATTGATCTATAGACTCAATGCCATCCTAGTCAAAATTCCGGGTTGTGTGTGTGTTGGGGGGGCATGTTTACATAGAAACTGACAGATACCAAAATTATTAGAAGTACAAGAGATACTATTTAAAAAAAACCCAAAACCCACTGCCCTATAGGACAGGGTAGAACTGTTTACAAGATGCAGCTAAATAAACTCTGCAACCCAACAGAGTTGACAGCACACACTCCCTGATTTGAAGACTTACGATAAAGTTGCCGTCGTGAATATGTTGCTGTATTGGCGGACAAAGAGAGCATTGAACCAAGTCGGGTCCGGATTGTTTTGTAGGCTCCTAGGGTCGGTTTGGCAGAGTGGGTTTTCAACAAGTGGTGCTGGAACCAGTGGACAGCTGGATGTCAAGAGCCCTGGCCCCAGCCTTGCAGACAACCAAATCGCAATGTTCCCCAGCTACTTCTTCCCCAAGACCTGGGCTAGAAAACTCTTCACCTCTCGCCAGGGCAGCACAACTTCTCTGGCCCCAATTAGGGACCCGTGAGCCTCGCCCGGGAGCTCTGAAATAAACCTTTAAGACTAAAAGGGGGAGGGAGGGGGGAAAGAGGACCTAATGCCGGGGGCTTAAGTGGAAAGGAAATGTTTTGAGAATGATGAGGGCAATGAATGTACAAATGCGCTTCACACGATGTATGTATGGATTGTGATAAGAGTTGTATGAGCCTCTAATAAAATGATTTAAAAAAAAAAACTAAAAGGGAGGGAGAGAGAGAGAGAGAGAGAGAGACGAGAGGGCCAGGGGGAAGAAAGACAAGACAAGAAAACAAACAAGCACACCACTTGGATCTGAGCCTTGCACCTCATACGAAACTCAACATGGATGATATATTTGCGTGTGAACTATGAAACTGTTGCTGCTCTTGTTAAGTGCCATCGAGTCATTTCCCACCCACTGTCACCTTGTGCACAACAGAATGAAACCCGGTCTGGCCTGCCCCGTCCTCACAATGTCCTGTGCCTGAGCCCATGGTTGCAGGCCCAGTGCTAGTTAATCTCTTGGAAGGCCTTCCTCTCCTTCACTGCCCCTCTGCATTTTCAAGCACGATGTCCGTCTCCAGGACTGGTCTCTCCGGACAGTATGACCACAGTATGTAAGACGAAGCCTCGCCATGCTTGCCTCTAAGGAGCACTCCGAGCTTACTTCTTGCAAGGCAGGTCTGCCTGTCCTTCTAGCGGCCGTGCTGCTTTCAGTGTTCTTCCCCAGCGCGGCCACTCCAATGCACGCATTCTTCTCCGGGCCTCCGAAGCCAGTGTCCAACTTCTACCTGCGCAGGAGGCGCTGGAAATACCATGGCTTCAGTCAGGCGCACCTTAGTCCTCAAACTAACACCCTTGCTTTTCAACACTCTAAAGAGGTCTGTGCAGCAGATGTGCCTAATGCAGCAGGTCTTTTGATCATCTGACGGCTGCTTCCATGAGCATTGATTATGGATCCAAGCAAGACGAAATCGTTGACAACCTGTTCTCCGTTTAGCATGATGCTACCGACCCATGCGTTTGTGAGGGTTTGGTCATCCGTCCTGAAGGCTGCGGTCCTGGGTCTTCATCAGAAGCGCTTCCAGTCCTCCTCGCTCCCAGCAAGCGAGCTCAGTAATGTAGGACATCTAAAAGAAGACGCAGGAGGAAATCAGGGCTCTCGGCAGGTAATTCTTAGTTTGCGCGCGACACCAAAAGCAGGCCAAGGAGAGAATAAGAAAAGCAATGGACAGAGGGACCTCACCAAATGAAGCCCTTCTGATCTTGCGAGAATGGGAGAGACGCAAACGTTGACAGAACAACTAGACTTTCTCTTTCTTCCTGTCCGTTTCCATCTTCCTTGTTCCAGTCCACAAAGCATTCACGTGCCCAACGGCCTCATTTGCAACCTCCCAGAGGCCCGAGACTGTTTGGACCCCTCACAGTGGTCAGTGGAGGTTGTTCAATGAAATGACGGCCGGCGGTTCAAAACCGGGGCCTCACTTCACAGAACACAGATTCACTGACGTTTGCCTTTACTTTTCTTGGTTGGGGATTAAAAGAAAATCCACTTGATTCTGCGCAGGAGGTGGCTCGGTGTATTAGTTTCCCACTGCAGATGGGAGGTGGGTCTATATATATATATAATGTTTGCATTGGTTTTTTTAAACAAAACCGTTTTAAAGACGTATCAATCCCATGTCATACGTTTCAATCGTTCAGTCATACGAGCCGCCTCATTTTTGCCACATTGGGAAGGACTCTCCCACCGCGCTGACGGCTCCTGGCGAGGGGAACGAGCAGTTAGCATCCTTTCTCTGCATCCTGTCCAGAGCGCAATCTTTTGTTTCTTTTCCGGTCTCCACCTTGAAGAGAGCAAAGGGCGCCTGATCACACCAACGAGTCTGTCCTCAAAGTTAATGATGTATTAGATGTAAGACAATCAATTAAAGTTTCCAAAATGTGAATCTCACTAAAATAGGACCCTGTACTTCATCTTTCCCCTATTTTAGGATTCTGATCTCATTAGAAATGTTCCATTTTCTCTGTCTCAGTAATGAGAATTTCAACCACACATAAATCACCGTGACATTTTGTAATCCAAGAACCTCCCGATTTAACTTCAAGATTCTTTCAGATAATGAAAGCATTAGACCCTACATCTACCTCATTGGTCCCAATCTTCAATAGGGCGTGTGCGCCCCCATTTACATCTTGTAAGAGGGGACCACGGTTGTGTCTTGCTGTGAATGGGCTATGATTGAAGGACCATCTTCTTTCAAGTGAACTGCCTCGAAGGTACCCAGAATTCTTTGGTAGGCACCAGGCAACTGGTTCTCCCACCAGGAAGTTAGCTGTCTGAGAAGATTGGCTTTTTGAAACTTTCTGTAGAAGATGGGAGGCTGAAGAGATGGGAGGCTGAACTTTTCTTTGAAAAGTTCCAGCTTCTTCTTCATCTTCATGTTTGTTTGTTTTTCCCTCCATTTTGCATCGGTTGAGCGCACCCTACTTCAAGATACGAAGTACCAAGAACAGCACTGTGCCACGGGAAGTTCTGGGAGGAGGAAATGGTCTGTCTGTGCTGTGCTGTATGGGAGCCACATGTGGCCACTGAGTGCCTGGAATGTGACAGAGGGCACGGCGACGTGACGCGGGACTGTGTCACGCTGAAACCATGCTGTGTGTTTCCCGTGAGCGCTGACACACACTGGAGGACCCCCTTTCACAGCTGCTACACACATTTCCCAGCTCCTCTGGAGTCAGTTCCTGTCTCCCCAACCAAACCCAAAGCCACCAGCCTCAAAGACATTCTGACGCACAGCCGCCCTGTAGGACAGGGTACAACCGCTCCGGTGGGTTTCCGAGTGTACATTTCATGGGAGCAGGCTGCCTCATCTTTCTCCCATGGAGCAGTTAGCGGATTTGGGAGGGGCCTTTCAGTGAGGGGCCCAACGGCAGCACCAGGACTCCATCTGATACACTGACTCCCTCAGAGGTCGTGTTGAGAACCTGTGCTCCGGATCCACCGTGTTTGGCTGTCAATTAGTCACACCGTGGTGGTTTACGTGTAAGCTATGCCACTCACAGATACCAGGAGGGTCACCGATGGACGGCAGGTCTGAGCGCCCTCCTGAGCTGGGTGAGTGTTGGCCAATTCGTTCTGGCACAGGGACTCCGTGAACGCTTTCTGGCTTCTTTTGGTGCTTCCTGTGTCATTCAGGTGTTTGTCCACAGAGTCCTCTAGTACTGTAACTTAAGTCTTGATTCATTTTCTTCAATTCTTCCACCTGGAGAAATACCTAGCGTTGCCGGAGGTGGTATATGCTCACGGACCAATGGTACAAAACAAAGGAGTCTCGGCTGTGCAGAAGGCACTGGCGAAAAGTCAGGCTCTAGAATGGATGGAACACATCACTTCTCCTTTCAGCTAAGATGAAGTGTAGAATGGACGGAGCACCAATGGAGATGGTTCAGCCAAGGGGTGCAACACTGGAAGCACTCACTCCCTGTCAAGAAATTCGCAAGACAGCCCCCTGAGATGTGCCTATTCCAAAGACGGTGATCAAGTGAAACCAGAAATGAGAGACCATTAACATCAAATGACGTTCACCTTTTTCTACTATGCGAAAGTGTGGATCCTTACAAAACATGGATGGCAATGCAAAGATGGGACTTCCAGACGACCTCTTTGTGCTCACCCAGAGCTGTACGTAGAGCAAGAGGGGATTGTTTGAACAGAACAAAGGGATACTGAGTAGTTTCAAATCTGGAGAGGCGCGAGTCCGCATTATATCCTCCCACCATCCAGTGTGTATGCTGAACAAGCAATCTGAGAAGCTGCACTAGAGGAAGAAGGAAGTGGGTCAGGATTGGGAGATGTATTCACAGCCTGTGCTATGCAGAGGGCACACCCATGCCTGCCGAGGCACTTGCAGAGGAAGATCAATCGTGGGCGGAGGTCAGCTCACTATCATCCTCCCTGCTGCCAGACCACTGTCTCCCCACATCATAGAAGTGGGCCTGCTCCCTGCTGCTGGGGACAAGGGACAGGCTCCTGGAGGCAGAGTTCACATCCTACTGATAATGGTCTCTATCAGTTGGGCCAGAAACAATGATAATCAAAGTTAGGCTGCCATCCTGTATCTAAGACCCACCCATCTTTCCGTGTGTATACCTCCTATCCCTCCTCTTCCTATTGCCTGGATACCCCTAGATCACCCCCTCCCATCACTGTAATACCTATAGCACAACCCGGTCCTGTAACGTATGTCTTTAACTGTAATTAGGGGGCTTGCACGTCCCCAGAGAGGATAAAAGCTTGGGAAGCATTAAAGTCCCTCCCTCTCCCTGGTCGCTCCCCTTTCTTCCCCCTCTTATCTCCCGTCTGTTGGGGCCGGGTTTGAACTAGGCAGTCCCTGTTTGGACTAAGCTGAAGCAGGTCCAGGCCTGCACATCCCAGAGGTCAGCAGCCGCCAGAGAAGATAACCTGTGAAACCTGATGGTCCCGGTTCAAAGCAAGCCTCCAGGAGTCCACAAGCAACTCTCCCAGTTTCCAGACCCCATATGCTAATTGCCATACATTCCTCACCACCCCTTTAAAAACCCTCACCCCCATCTGCTGAGCACGACTTCCCTGACCTGCTGGCCTAGGTCAGGGAACCTCATCCGGGAGCTCCCCTAACCCCTAATAAAGCTCTTTCTGCTTCTGCTCTCCCTTGTCCTGTCAGTATGTCCGTCCTCCTCCCTGTCCCTCAGTCCGCCTTTACACCGCCCTCTCTCCCTTGTTCCTTTCCCTCCTCCTTCCCCGCTCTCTCCCTCCATGTGGACCACCAGCTGGGCTGAGGTGAGCAATGCTACCATAAAATGTGTCTGACTCCATTTATTTCTATATATCTCTTTTATCTCTCATACTCTCTATAACTTTATTATAATATTTACTTATTATCGCTGTACAATTGCGCCTACCGAACCCATAGTGATTGTGCTAGGAGCTGGTTTCTCCTGGCAATCAATGATGACAGCCCACAGTATCCGGAACATCTCAACAAAAAGAAAAACAAAAAAACAAGAAACATCTTCGCAAGTGGACCAATCAGCAACCGCATGATAAACAGAGTAAATATGGAAGTCCTCAAGGATTTCATTTTACTTACGTCCACGATGGACGTCCAGGGAAGTGGTGTTCAAGTTACGAAATCCAACGACAGACGGCACTGGGCAAATCAGCTGCAAAAGACCTAAGTGTTAGCAGCGAAGATATCACCTTGAAATTAAGCCAGGCCTGACCTCAGCCAACGTGTTTTCAGTCTCCTGATTTCAGTCAGAAAGCTGGATGATCAAGGAAGACTAGAGAATGGATACCACTGAAAGGTGGTGCTGGGAAAGGCTATTTCCACAGACTCCCAGAAAAACAAGCAAAACTATCTTGGCAGAAGTACAGTCTGGTAATTACATAATCTGGTGTCAATTTTGGGACTTAAAAGGATTAAGAGTGAAGGGGTGGAGTCTAGTCTGTCAATCGGGTCATAGCCAATGAGGCCTCTGCATGGGCGTGGCCTTCCCCGGAGGATTCTGGGAATTCCGGTATTTCCCCCTTGGAGGCAGAATACACTCTCCACACTACTCACTCCCAGAGACACTGTACTGACAAGACACATGAATCCATGCTGAGGGCAGTGAAAGCCCTGGACCTGGAGAAGCCATGTGGAGACCCCTGCCAGCACTGAGATGCTTACTAGCTCCTGGATCTACAAGACTTTGCACCCACTGGCCTGTGACCTTCCTGCATTCAGCGAGATTGCATGTTTCATGAGTCTGAAGAGGACTTTATAGACTGGTATGGGACATATGGGCTAATATCGCACTTATGGACTTGATCTGAACTGGGCTGGGCTGTTTTCTCAATATTCAACTGCTCTTGTCTATAAACCTCTTTCTTATACACGTATGAGTGTCTGTGAGTTTGTTTCTCTAGTCTACCCGGACTGACACATACATCCAGAATGCTTTTTAGAAGCAAAGATGGCAAGATTTTGCCTCATGTGCTTTGGACATGTTTTCAGGAAAGGCTAGTCCCTGAAGGATGTCTGCTTGGTAAACCAGAGAGACATAGAGAGAGAAAAAAAGAAGAGGATGACTCTCCATGAGATGGACTGACAACAGTGACTGCTACCATGTGCTCTAACACAGCAAGTCGTGAAGACGGTCCCAAACTTGGCAGTGTTTTGTTCTGTGGTACACAGGGTCCATGTGAGTCAGAGCAACTCAATGACACTTACCATCAACGTTCTCTGCAGGAAGAAACAAATGTCCTGTCTTAGGGCGTTTTTTGAAACTCACATCGACAGTGGTATAGCAAGGCCTGTTTTCTCACTGATGAACACAGTACCTGGTGCATTGGACCAGGGCTGACTGACTGCCTTCACTTCGTGTCTGCAGGTGTTTGAAGTGTTCTGACTACTTTTCTAGGGAGGTAGGCCACAGTATCCCTTTCATCTTCAAAGGGGTCCAAGGTGGGAACTCACAGTGAACATAACGTTTCCTAACGAGGTAGCTCTGGTGGATCCTCTTCACGTGGTGTCTGGACCGGTTCTCCACGCCGTTGGGTTGGTTTATGGGGGCCTGGTGGTGTGCAAGGGCGGTTAAGGGGAATAAAATGGGGCTCACTTCTTCCAAGATGTGTGATCTAGGAGCAAAGTCCTGGATTATTTTCTGGTCCTCACTCCTTTAGAGGATCACTAACCTCACAGGTTCGTGGAGGGCAGAGCTCAGGGCGGGCCAAGTCACAGCGGTGCTGGAACTCTGCAGGGGGTAATCCCAATTGCCCGGATTTGGTGTCATGGTTTATGCGTGCGGCTGCTTCTCACAAGGCCAGCAGTTCGAAACCGCCAGCCTCTCTGAGGGAGAAGGATGAGCTCCACAGGTTTGGAAACTCACGGGGAAGTTCTACCCTGTCCAAGACGGTCACGAGGCGTCAGAATCGAGTCGATGGCGGTGGTGTGGGTTGTTACACTCCGAGCTGGCGCTCCCTGCGGGGCGGATGCCCAGACACCGGGTCGCCGCCCCATCCTCGCCGCACCGGGCCGGCGGGCCGGGCGGTAGGACGGACCGCGTACCCGGAGGAGAGCGAGTGCGCAGGAGTTTTAAACGAGGGCGTCCATTTTCTCCTGGAGGCGCCGCGTCCGTCTCCACACGCGAGGCAGCCGGCGCTGAGGGCGCGTCCGGCGAAGGGCCGCCTTCCTCCCCTCTTCCCCGCGTTTCCGTCCGGGGGCGGGGCCGGAAGTGACGTCTCCGCGCGCCCCGCCCCGCCCCGCTCCCACTTCCGGCGGGCGCTTCACGCCGGGTCTCTCCGACGTGCCGCGATGGGCAAGAAGGGCAGAAAGGAGAAGAAAGGCCGCGGGGCCGAGAAGACGGCCGCCGGCGCTGAGGGCGCGTCCGGCGAAGGGCCGCCTTCCTCCCCTCTTCCCCGCGTTTCCGCCGGGGAGAGGCGCCGGGGGCGGGGCCGGAAGTGACGTCTCCACGCGCCGCGCGCGCCGCCCCGCGACGCTCCCACTTCCGGCGGGCGCTTCACGCCGGGTCTCTCCGACGTGCCGCGATGGGCAAGAAGGGCCGAAAGGAGAAGAAAGGCCGCGGGGCCGAGAAGACGGCCGCCAAGATGGAGAAGAAGGTGTCCAAGCGCTCGCGGAAGGAGGAGGTGAGTGGGCCCGCGGCGGCACTCGGCTTCCTCGCCTGCCTCCGGGCAGAGCCTCGCGGGGGGACGA